GTTCGCTCGCTGTTGAAAAGACACGACTTCGCTGACAAATCGCACTACTTCTCTCACGATGGCGAGCATTATCATCGATAAATAACGACTTAAATTTCGATCTGTTCCTCGCAGAAACCTATCATATGATTTCAGAAGACTTGTAATACGAGTCATGTGGACAACTTGCTTGATTCTTTCTGAGGCTTCAGTCACCACTTGTTGCAATAGTATGTAAATGACATTTTGGAAAGACATCTTTATCCATCAAAAACAGAAAGTCAGATGGGCTTTGAAACAATGCCAATACATAACGGTGAGTAAATAATGGAATTTTCATTTTTGGAAGCTCTATTCTTAACACTTTTTTTTTTTTTAGAAAGTCATTGAGCCATTCATTTAGACGCAATTGTAAAAGTCACAGTGAACTGAATCAGCCCTTATTCACTTAAATCCGTCCCTCCCGAACCTATAACAAAAGTGTCCCTCGCAGATCAAAATGACCCGAAGGCCAAAAATGACACTAATTTCTTTTTTTTGGCCCAGAAAGCTTATATTGGTCCATTTTATACATTATTTTTTTTTCTAATTTTTTATGTAGGTTTTTTATTATTTTTTGGTGATTTTTATTTTATTCACATATGGATATTTTTATAAAAATCAGCATATTTTTATACATTTTTTCACCAAAAAAAAACAAAGAAAGACAATTTCTGCATATTTATACTTTAAACATGATGATCCATCAGGACCTAGGTCACTGAGTGTCTCTAATGCCATCTGGTGGGGAAAAATGACATAAAATTGCACAAACAAGTGAATTTTTTAACTACACCAACTTGAGGCTTCATTAAGCTTTCAGATATATATCAAAACATTTTAAAAATATATATATTTGTAAAAAAAAAAAAAAAGGAAATTGATACTGATTTTTAATCCAAACACATGCATATTCATACAGTTTCATAAATATGTAATATATATAAAAGATACATTTAAAAATATAAATATGATATAACATTGATATTGGTCTCATTGGTCTCTACCCCATCACTCAAATTTAACTGTTAAGTCAAAAAACTAAAAAAAACAAAATGACCAGCAGAAACATCATACATGCTATAATGTGTTTCAATGGGAGTGTGTGGTGCCATGTGTGTGTGCCTGTATGTGTGGGTATGTGAGTTTTTTTGTGCATTGGGGACATTCTGCAGTCTCAGCCCTTTGTTTGGGTATGCATCTTTTCTGGATTGTGTCAGATTTTGTATAGTCAAAAAAATCAAAATAAATTTTTATTTTTTATTTTTCCGGACATTCCATTCATTCCTATGGCCGGGTCAAAATGACCCATGAGGGACACTTTTGTTATTTTTTTTATTACACCCACATAGAATCCTCGAATCGACTCAAATTTTTTGTGTGTGCTCTATGCTTCAAGTGTGACAAAATAAAATAACAAAATCTGCAGTTTTTTCGTAAATTCCATGCTTTTCCAGTGGCGGGACCCGTGAGGGACACTTTTGATATTTTTTATTTAACCCACTTAAACTGCTCAAATTCACTCTAATTTTTTTTTTTTTTCGTGTATTCCCGGTTCAAGTGTGACAAAAGTAACAAAGTCTCATACCATAATGATAACGCTCGATTTTTAAAAAATCTTTAAAAATGAGTTTCGGGTCAAAATGACGGACAGAGGGACAGATGAGGGTTTTAAACTGCAGTCGTTCCTTGTTCTGTCTATAAGCCACACAATTTTGTAGAGAAGTCACATAAAAATTCTATCTACACTCTTAAAAATAAAGGTGCTTCACGATGCCATAGAAGAACCTTTTTGTCTAAATGGTTCCATAAAGAACATTTAACATCTGAAGAACCTTTCTGTTTCACAAAAGGTTCTTTGTGGTGAAAAAAGGTTCTTCAGATTACAAAAAGGTAAGAAAGAGATGGTTCTTTAAAGAACCTTTGACTGAATGGTTCTTTGTGGAACCAAAAATGGTTCTTCTATGGCATCGCTGTGAAGAACCTTTTGAAGCACCTTTATTTTTAAGAGTGTACTGTATAGTACGTGCACTGAGATGTTTGCCTCCCATTGCCATTGACATTCATTTTTTTATTGTAAAATAGTGTATCAAGTTGAATACACATGCAGGCATTTTAAGATGTTTAGGTTAAGTTTTAATTCCCAGCTGGCATAACATCTAAAATGTAAAATCAGCCATCCATAATATTCTGTTCTATTTTTTATTTTATTTTTTAAAATTCTGTCTACAAGATGAGCATTCCAGAGATTTCTCTTAAGTGTTGCAGAACCTGCTGCATGACAGACTTTTCAATAAAGTGGCCAAATAAGGGCCTGTGACCAAATTCAGTTGTCTTCTTGCTCAGGTGTTCTTCTGAGCCTTCCACTAGTCCCTTTGTCCTGGTTAAATCCATGCTGCAGTAGTGCACACATTCATGGAACAGCCTTCATCTCTCAGCAGAGAGCAGCACAATTAAGAGTCATTTCATTGTTGCCATTTTTTATAACCAAAATTGAACCGACGATATGAAAGTGCGAATAAGCACATTGTATTTTAAATGGAACACATTGTGAAGTAGCATTAACTTGATGCTATGACTTAAATGCTACTTTGTAAATCGTAGTATACATTTCTATCAAAAACTGAACTTTTGAACAATAGCATCTTTCTTTAGTAAATGAAACAAACATGTACTTTCAGCACTTTCAGGAAATGTAGGATTCAAAATAAATGTGTGATAATGCAAAGATCGTCTTGCTGTTTGAAGGATGCGCGTAGTACAAAAGTTTTATGCGCTCTAGCTTTAACAAGAGATGCCATAGTTTAAAATGCAATTGCTAAGGGCTAAGACTGTGAATTGCTAAGATTCAAAAGACTGTGATCAGATTCAAGAATGGAACTTTTCTAGATGTTCAAATACAAACTGAATTGCATGTAAACATACCCGTAGGTGAACTGTTCGTTGAAATCAGGTGTTTCAGAAAGCAGTGATGGCAGTGAGGAGGAGGAAGGCACTATAAATGCTAGAGTTACAAAGACCAGCAGACTGCAGATTATTGCCATCCTGGCCCTGTTATTACTACACCGAGCTGTAAAGAACACTCTGGGACACCCCGAGTCAGCTCAGAGTCAATCATTTAATGCAGAAAGCTGTGATGGCCAGTGTTTTTGTTTGTGGGTAGCAATCCGCTTTCTTAATTGTGTAATAGGAGAAGAAATAGGGTATACACATCTTCTGGATATCACTACTCAATGAAGGTGGTTCCCACAAACTCATACAGAATATTTTACGGAAGAATATACAATACAAGGAAATACATAGTATATAAAAATGAAGAGTGTCCAGTCCTGTTCTTTGAGGGCAACCTTCCATTTACATTTACATTAATTCATTTAGCAGACGCTTTTATCCAAAGCAACTTACAATTGAGGAATTCAACAAGCGATTCATCACAGGAAGTGCTCGTAATTATAAAGTTTCAGACATTGTACAGATTAGTACAAGTACTAGAGAGGGGGGATAAAAAAAAAAAAAAAAGCAACGTTTTTTTTTGTTTGTTTGTTTTTTTCAGTCAAATGTTGACGAAAGAGCTTCCAGCAGAGTTTAGCTCCAAACATACTTAAACCAGCTAATCAAGGTCTTCAGGATAAGTAGAAACTTCCAGGCAGGTGTTGTGGAGCAGGACTGGACACCAAAAGATTATTAGGTAATGTAAAGACGACATGATAAAGAAATGCTGAAACTAAAAACTGAATTGGAATCAATCTTTAATGCAAACAGCAGGATGTTGCATTCTTAAACCTATAACAAACATGAGGGGTAAAAAAAAATCATAATACCCACAATCTTAAATTAAATTAATCATGAAAGTTCACATGAAATTTGACGGCCCTGAAAATAAAATTCCTTAATAAACACTCAAAATGTATAATACTGACTACTTGGCAGCAATCACGAATATCACGAAAGTTTATACCAGCTTACAAAAACAGAAGCTCAATATTGCTCTGGAATGTTACAGCAGTCTGCCATGAGTCTAGTTGATGTCAAGTGAAGGAAAGAGCTATATCTACACGCCTGCGTTACAGTCAGACAATGATAATGTGTGCACAAAGCAGGTATGGTTTAAGACAAAAGAGGCAACCTCTTGCATGAAGCTGCCTATTTAATTTAACAGTCTACAAGTATAAGAGGCATGAATGGGATACTTGGAGAAATTATTAAGAACAAACTTGGACTTTGCTAGCAATATAGCTGCCGCTTGTTGGAGTGAGAAACATCCTACAGTGAGTGCTACATGCCACAATCCCCTAGACATTTTGCACACTCTACAGGGAGCATCCCACTCCGAACAGCCAGAAATTATGATGGGACAAAAACTCTTGACGCACAACCATTTTTAAACCAGAGCAGGTGGGCTGTTTAAGGAATGTAACCGTTCGAAGAGATGTCTGGAAATGACTGCGACAGGACTAGAGTGGTTTAGGACCTGAGGACCAGTTTGTGGTGGTTCTTCAACCAGACCAGATGGTTCATAGGCCGTGCAAGCCAAGTCCATTAAGTTCAGCAAATCCATTGTGATGAGGTGCACTAGAGAGCCAAGTTTTAGCATGAAAGGAATTTCCGTTTTTTCTTTTCTTTAACTTTTTGTAAAAGTCCTTCTTCCAGTATGCATTTAGGAAAAATCAGTCAGTCCAGTGAAAGGGAATTAGTTGCAGTCATAAACAAAGTCATAATTGCTTGGCTCTTTGGGGATTGGGGGAGGAACTTCAGGGATTTGGATGTTCTCCAGGTCCAGGAGGCGGAGCTTCATCTCCATGTTGAGAAGAGTGTCCATGTCTGAGCGAGTGAACTCACTGGTCATCTCCTTCCCCAGCAGTGCATTCAGCCCATCTGTCCACACGCAGTACTGAAAATTGGCCAGAAAACATGACATTAAACCACAGCATGCACAAAGTCCGAATCACACCAAAGAGGGACAGTCGCTACCACTTTCATAGGCCGTGCAAGCCAAGTCCATTAAGTTCAGCAAATCCATTGTGATGAGGTGCACTAGAGAGCCAAGTTTTAGCATGAAAGGAATTTCCGTTTTTTCTTTTCTTTAACTTTTTGTAAAAGTCCTTCTTCCAGTATGCATTTAGGAAAAATCAGTCAGTCCAGTGAAAGGGAATTAGTTGCAGTCATAAACAAAGTCATAATTGCTTGGCTCTTTGGGGATTGGGGGAGGAACTTCAGGGATTTGGATGTTCTCCAGGTCCAGGAGGCGGAGCTTCATCTCCATGTTGAGAAGAGTGTCCATGTCTGAGCGAGTGAACTCACTGGTCATCTCCTTCCCCAGCAGTGCATTCAGCCCATCTGTCCACACGCAGTACTGAAAATTGGTCAGAAAACATGACATTAAACCACAGCATGCACAAAGTCCAAATCACACCAAAGAGGGACAGTCGCTACCACTTTGTAGCTAGCGGATGGCGTTTGCTCACCTCATGCTTGTCAGGGGCAATGAAGTTTAGATACTCATCAGATTCATAGAGGACAGAGAAAGCCAGCTCCAGCACCTCCTAAAGAAGGAAAGAGAATTGACATCGTCTGTCAAATGCTAATGGGGCTGCTGTGTTTGTGTGCCTCCTATTGCGTGACGTTTTGCAGATCTTCTGCGAACATATTACAACAGCAGATGGTCCAATTTGGTGTGTGTGTCCGTGTATGTATACAGGCCTCTCCTGCCGGGCACCAAGACACAGCAGTAGGATGATCAGCACCGGAAGTGCATCAAAGCTTGAAGTAACAAAATACTTCAATCTCATTGACTCAACATGGAAAATACATGACGTTTTTGGGGTAGCTGTCAGAAAGGTATCTAGTGCATTTGGCAATTGCAAATCCCTGTCAAAACTATGGAGATGCAAGTTACCAATTCAAGTAAGAGGAGGTTCAACTGGCCAACAAACTAATCCTCTCTGTGGCACATTTGAAATGTCTATACCCAGATCTTATCAACACTTTTCAGACCACCTGACCTCTCTTGAGACCTGTCTAGGATGGTAAATAAGATGATAACAAAAGCACAGAAAAGGATGTACTTTTATGGCAAACGCTGAGGCATTACTGGTGCTTCTCAGCCTTCACAGAATCAGCCCTCACATCAATTCTAATTGTCTTATTTGGGTCAACTAACCTAAAAAAAAAACAGGATGAAATTGGATCATCTGAATGGCTAAAAGGATCATTGGATGAGAGCTACATCATCACATCCAAAATGAGAGCAGACAAACATTTCTGACCCCTCACATTCTGCCCACAGCATCTTCCTGCTATTCCATGCAGAGATGAGATTACAGACAATCGAGACAATAGAAACAGAACAATCTCTTCTTCATCAGTTGATGAAGGAAGTGATTTTCCAAGTCAAATTCCTATTAAGATAAATCTTGCTTAAAGAAAGGACAAAAACTAAAAAATTTTTAGAGTCAGTGTCATCAGGACTAGGGGGATCCAACAACCTTTTGGCTGTGCCAGAAAGTTCCAGTTTTACTTGATATGCTGTCTTCAAGTTTAATCAATTTTGTCAACAGGGAGTCATTTTTTTTTTTTTTTTTTTTTACAGTTGTGGCATAAATTTGACATTGCCTGCTTTGTTCTGTGGGAAGAAGAATGGGTGACTTTGAAACTGAAGTGAGCTGATGATCATTACTCACAGAGCTACAAGGCATAACTAATGCATCCTTTGTCACCAAGCCACACACCGGTGCATCAAAGGAGAATTTGATCTTTTGATATTCAAGAGCATTTTTTGCTCTCTGTCATCAAGCACACACAAAAGGACGCACCTTGTTCTGCTTCAGAGCTCCCTTTTCCTTCATATGTGGACAGTCTTTACCAGTGACAACAGCTTTGATATCAGCCACAGGAACTGCCACAGGGAACAAAGAAAAATTAATAAGACAGGGTGTGGCCATCTTAAGCCCATCTTTATAAAGTGAAGCCACTATACCGTGGTCAGTATTCAGGCTGTACTCACGTTTGTCCTGTAGGGAATCATGGGGTACCTCTCCCTGAGGGCTCTCCTCCAGATCCCCATAGTGGAGAACTTTATGATTGGGCGACAGTCGACAGTACCAGAACTTGTCTGTAAAGAAGCATGACAGTGGGTCAGTCTTCCACAATGTAATGCTAACATGTTATCTTTCAATCTAGTACAATACTTAATTTTCTTTGGCTTTTACTTGTGTATTGGGCAAAGCCATGACTGGCAAATTGTCTCCCAATCTCCTCCTGACACTTCCTGTGCCCCAACGAAAGCAGACACAAGTGATCACTGCCAAGACTGCTCACATATAGACTAGAAGGCCATGGCTGGCACTCGACCCTAGTGCCTGAATCCAACTCCTAATTACTGAGAATAGCAGTTTGGCAGAATAAAGAACATTGTGGGATGAAAGAGTGTCCTGCAGGGTGGCACTTCAGGCATATACACACCCAAAGAGATAAGGAGTGTGCAGTAAACAGCTTGATCACTGCACAATTTCTGTACCTTCAGCTCAATAGGCTGTTTAGCCACCACTACGAATGTGTGATGAACAACCAGCAGATACTGCAGCCAACAGCCATCTGTGAGCCCATTCTGAGATGTCAGAACAGATATGTGCAGAATGGTTTAATATGCATGCAGTGCCACGTGCATGATGAAAAAGGGGCTTCCTTTGTAGATGGCTTTGCTGACTTTCTATTCTAATTGATGACATACACAAGTCAAGAGACAGAAGGAACAATGTGGATGAGGAAATAAGTCATTTTTATTTAAGAGAAGCCTGATGAGTACTAGTGCCCCGGTGCCCTTCCCTCAGCTATCATGCATGCACCTAAACCTGAATCTAGGACGAAGAACTTAAAATCTCAAAAACCTTAAGATGAACACTGTATGGAAGCAGGGTCATGAGCAAGGGAAAAAACAATTTAACTAAATCTCTCAGAGTTTAGCTCCAGTCTCAGTGATTAAAGTTCCGTCGCTACGACGGATTTCCGTCAGTTCATAAAGACAGTCACTTGCTTCATTCCTGAATGATTCAGCCGTTCGAACGAATCAATTGAATGAATGATTCAGTGATAAAATCAGTGACTTGCCACCACCTGCTGGCGGAATTAGTTTCATTTCTAGCGTATAATTTCAGTTATTTAAATCATATTTCTGTATTAAAAATTGTATATTTAAAACATTAATCTCCACATGAATTTAATTGCACTCATGCCACCTCTGAGCCTCATTAAATGTCTGAAAATGTACCTACAAGCCACTTTTGTGTTCTTCTGTGCCACCTCTGTATTACAAATTATTTTATTAATACTAATTTCATATGATTGGTAACTTATGTCTTATTCTACTTCTTATTATATTGCAGGGATTAAAGCAAAAAAAAAAAAATCTTGACTGAAAATTTTTATTCAACCAAACCCCATTCCTCAGCCATACCTGTCACACACCCAGTTTAAGAGCAGTTTTTTTAAAATTTCTATCTAAAACAATATGTAGAATAAGACAAATAAATTACCAATCATATGAAATTAGTATTAATTTGTACTACAGAGGTGGCACAGAAGAACACAAAAGTGGCTTGTAGGTACATTTTCAGACGTTTAATGATGCTCAGAGGTGGCATGAGTGCAATTAAATTTATAAATTCATGAGAGGAGTTTAATGTTTTAAATATAAAATTTTGAATACAGAAATATGATTAAAATAACTGAAATTATGCGCTAAAAATTTAACTAAATCCACCAGCAGGTGGCGGCAAGTCACTGATTTTATCACTGCATCATTCATTCAATTGATTCATTCGAATGGCTGAATCATTCAGGAATGAAGCAAGTGACTGTCTTTATGAACTGATGGAAATCCGTCGTAGCGACAGAACTTTAATCCCTGCAGTCTGCTCCAAACCTAAACCTGTAATTCTGAATTCTGAAGACCTTGATTAGCTAGTTCAGATGTTTTTAACCAGGGTTGGAGCTAGATTCTTAAGGTAGGTGGCCTTCCAGAAGCAGGATCGTTCGCTGTCTAAAAAAAGAGAACAAAAATCTAAAATGTTTTAGAGAATTAACTGCGAAGGAGGATTCAATTTTAACATTATTCAGAAAACTCCGCCTCAGGCAACCTCTGCAATACTTAAGATTGACGCTAGGAACTGGACTGCTCATTTTGTACACCATGAGGAGAGAGCTCTGCTATGGGGGGACAATAGGGAATACAAATGTCAATGTAGCACCTGTCAGTCAAAAGCCACAGGTGCACTTCATTCTGTCGTCTAAGAGCAATCCTTAAAAGCTTGCTGAAAAGGTTAGTTGTGCGCGGACAAAAGCAATCTTCTAACATTGGGTTATCTTGGGATTAAAGATACCTGAATTGTGGTGGCTTCATGTGGTTGGTGCTTCCTGTGGGGAACCTCATTGTAAAGATTGTATTAGAGAGCAGAACATATCTGAATGTCATGGAGTAAGCTATTGAAATGTAATTCAGACTTGACTGACAAGTAATGACTTTATCACAAAGGTTACTATAACAGTTGATGAAAAACAGAACCTCTATCTCTGCTATGAAAATCCTGATATACAATATACTGCAGGATACCACAAACATGTGGACATGGGCAAAGGTACATATTCAATGCTATTTCATATGGGACATACACATTGACAAGAATGAGTCACTGAACTCTTGGTTACTTCTAGGCATTCCTTGTTACTGGAGATATAGGTTAAGATATAGGTTCTATATTTGATTGATTGTTGAATGAGGTTCCCCACAGGAAGCACCAACCGCACAAAGCCACCATAATTATCCAATCCTACATTCTAGACAACTTGGAATTTGGAATTTCTCCCTCCTACTCGATAATAACCACCGTTATAATGCTCAAGGTCAAGCGCCATTCCATTTGAAAAACCAAATGGAATTCTGAGATTCCTGGAATGCAGCATAACTGGAATACTTTGAGTTTGGAAGCACAAAATTTTAACAACCAAACATTCCCAACCCTAATTTTATCTAATTGCAACTTTGTGTACAAGAGTACAAGAGTGTCTGTACTCTTGGAAGTCACAGCATCATTTTGTTGCACAAAGCTGAACTCTGCTTAACCTTTTCACACTGAGGCAACATGAGCCACAGAATCCACTGGCAAATTTATCACATGTATAATGCACATGTGTTATGTCAGTCAAATTATGAGAGGGGGCCACCAACCTTTGGCAGATAATAGAATAGTTGATTGTGAGCAAAAATGTTTAGAAAATAAAGGCAATTAAACAGGCAAAGTGTGAAAAATCTCAAATGAATAAAAATAGAGAGAGAAAGCAAGAATGAGAGATTTAGTGAGAAAGTGGGGACCCTAAGAGAGAGAGAAAGGAAGAAAGAGAGAGGCAGGCAGACAGAGCAAGAGACAGACAAGGTGTCTAGTCTCAGAATCATCTAATCCTGTAGAAGTGTGAAGAGTGTTAAATTATCCAGGCTAACCGATAAAGCTTCTCTCTGAGCTCAGCAGACAGCCCTCCTCTTCAGCCAGCCTGTGTAAAAAGCGATATTACATTGGACGATCTTTCAACTCTCCAATCTGCGGCGTAAGCTTTATCATTCCCACCACTCAACACTTGTTTGAAATTGGCTCCATACTTCCGCTCTCTCAGCAACGGACAAGGCTTGCTAAATCATGCTGTCGGTTTAATAATAGCACTCATAAAAATATACACAGGACGTATACATTTCAGAGTGTGTTGAAGTAAGATTAAAGCTATCGTGTGAGACATTTTAATATTACTTTACTATACTATGAGATTACTGAAATGCAATTGAAAAAAAAATTGTGACCAATAAAGATCTTGGTAAATTCCTATAATTCCAAAGTTCTGTCTGTGAATGAGAATGAGTAGAGGTCACCAATAAAAGCCACAACTGAATAACCCCATTCGGTTCACAAACTTAAAGGTCCCATATTGTCAAAACTATGTGGTGCTATGTAACTACCATATAAGTTTCAAAACAGTCAGTCCACAGTAAAATTCACACAGCCTGCTTAAAGTAGCTGTGATTTTTCACGAACCGTTGTGACTTCCGTAAAAACTTGACGTCAGAGCTACACAGTCACCGCCTTCAGTCACCACCCCGAGCACCGCCCACAGTCCCACTCTCCTTTTGCCAAAACCCCAGACAATATTGCGGAAACATGTCGAAAAGGTTAACTTTAAACATGAAACCAGATCGGCTGACCTGTAACTTTACACTCTCACTCAAAGGATGGACAATCTGACAGGATTGTTACTATGAGGTGGATCACATCTAACGTGTATAGTAAAGACAAACTCACCGTGTCTATCTAGTCATGATGAAGATGTATATACATTTCAATTTCAGCAGGCAACTATTTTTACAGCTACATTATTGTTCCAGCCACAATTAATCACAACAATGTATATACAATTACAAATGATTATATATAAATAGTCAGTTTGTTGTTTTACACACATGCACACAGACATAATTTCATACACGACATAGTAGTGACTCTGAGATGCAAGAAACATATGGCAAGAAATCTGTAGACGCACCCATAACAACAAAAGACAATATTTTATCGAACCTTTTCTGATAAAAAGTGTGCGCTGCAAACGCCAGCATTTTTGACGATCGTTTCTGTCCAGTCTGTTCATTTTATCGCGTTTACCCACAGCTGTCGTCGTTTTTTTGTCTGGCAGTGGCAGCAGATATGCGATCAAATTTCTAATTTGAGGCTGTATTACATCGATTCTGGCACCCAACATCACAACAAGATGATATTTTAAGCTCCTTAGGTCGCAGAATCTGCGCTGGTTTGAATGGGCCGCCTCCAGTTTCCCCTTTGTTTTGCTGCCTCCAGCTAGAGCTGTGACATCGGCTGACCCTAGTTACCTGTGGTTGGCCTGGCCATGCGTCACTCAGAAAACAACAGGCCAATCAGAAGAGAGGCTCATGAATATTAATTAGACAGACCAAAATCGACCTTTTCTCAGCAGAGCTCCTGAGAAAGGAGCTGTAAAAATATATTGAGATGGTTTTTGGTACTTATACCGCAAATATATATTCTTAAGGACATCAAAACCTAATATAAAACTCCAGAAAGGTGTAAAATATGGGACCTTTAAGATGAGCACAAGAAAGCTATGCTAGGCTCCAGTAAACTAAATACTCACACAGAGCTGATGTGTTTAAAACAGTTCAGCTGAAAGTGCATTCATTTTGAAGAGGAAAACACTTTTACTGTGTATTAACCAGACACAATTCAAGAAACAAGCAAATTTTAAGAAGAAACTGAAGGTGAAAATGCTGTTACATCACAGAAACATGTTCAGAACAATGAGGACAAATTCATATTGTTTGCATGCTAAGAACACACCTCGTATTTTCATTCATTTCTATGCTGGTTCACCAAACAGCATCCTTTTTAGGGTTCTCCCTAGGGAACCTTGAGGGATTTGTCATGCAATATTCTATGTTACTCTACTACCACAATGAATCTCTCTCAGTCTTGACAAAGTTTAATGCTATACATAGGGGTCGAAATTAACTTTTTTACTTGGTAGAACTGGTACTCCCAACTTCAAGAAGTTAGGAGCACCCACTAAATATTAAAGAGCATCACAACTGCCAATTGAGCGGAAGGGCTGACAACATCCTGATGATTAAAAGCTTAAACAATTGAACCTGATCCTGAATTCTTTGCCACACACTTGGCCCGGCATTTCTTGTTAGCGATGCATCGATCTTTCATTCCGATTGCTAATGTTTTAGAAGTGAGTAAGCTTATTCTGATAGCCGATTTTTTAAATATTTTATTTTATTTTTTAAAGCGAGAGACAATAAAAATGAAAATGAACAAGACGTTTATTTGGTCTATTACAGTCTGTATCTGTAGCCATTTAAAATTAGAGACAACCACAGCATTTTAATCATGATCCAAACAAAGATGCTGCATACATGAGCAGTTTCAGATGAAAATTAGAATGTATTATTTCAAAATCTGAATCAAAAACAGGTCTGACTTTAACTTTGTGAAATTGTGCTACATAAAACATCTGCACGAAACAAAAACAGCAGACAGTCTGAATGAAAATGCAAATTCACTCTCTGACAGCAGGTGGCGTTTACTGAACAGCAGCAATAGAGCGCTTCCTTGGTTACCGCTGTAAACAAAGCAGCCACTGCTTTGTTCTTTATATAGCAATATACAGAGGCAAGATGAGAAGAAAATGTCATTTACACTTTTCCCAGTCAAGACAGTCAGTTACCCTCAGAAATACACTAAATACATTAAACCCCCACTACCAATTCAATATTTAGGATTTTCTTTCTATTTTTCGCGCATATTAATCAGTGAGCTCCTGCCTGCAACAGTATTTTCTTTCCTTTGCGTCCGTCTTCAGCGTCTCTGGCCTCTCTTAACGGCCGATTACAGACTTTGTAATATTTCCACACAAATTACATTTTGGAAAATGATTTCAATGCAGTTTGTGCAAGTCCAGAACAGAGATCGGCTGAAATAAAACAAAAACCGGTCGGTTCCGAGTTAGCTCCCTGTCACGTGACAACGGAGTTTAGCGAAAGGGAGTGATTGACGGCTATTATAACCAATCTAAAATACGCATTAAAGTTAAGAATGTAAAGATGAAGCTTAATTGGTTATGTAACGTTGGAATAGAATGGTGGAGCGGTCACTGTATCGGCTCACAGCAGGCACATACTGTGTAGTAATTCGCGAACGATTAGCAGAGAAATGAAGACAGGTCGCACCACAACAATTATGTGCACTCGCACAAATGCTCCCAAATATATTTTGGGGTCGCACAGATTAGGAGCATATGCGACCAAAACGGTCACAATTTCGAGCCCTGATACAGGTGCAGAATTGTATCTCAATGTATTTTCTGTGTGGCCGGGGCTAGTGACATGCAGAAACAGAAATCAAGCAATAGACAAAATGTAGTGTTGTTCATAGCTGCTGGTTAGGACAGAAACTTGGATTAACAAGAAAGAGGCAGCTTTGAATCTTTCGTTCCAAAAACTACTTGGAATCTTTATGGAATAAAAATGGTTTAAAAAAGAACAAAAATAACTTCCTCACCCTCATGTTCAGTGTGTGTGTTTCTTACCCTGTCTCCTTCGGCTGCTGATCTTCCTGAAGCAGGTGCCCTCACACAAACGATTGAGGCGTTGCTGTTTGATCAACTCCATGATCTCTGGCTGGATTTTCTCCCTAAGCTCCCTGGAGAAACAGCAGAGGATCACACAAATGCCGTTTAAAGTGCACCAGTTTACTGGCAGTTAACACAAAGAAAGACTCAAAAACATCATTTATAAAGTCACATACAGACTTGGTCTTTAGACATTTTTTTGTACTACAAGTCAGGAAGAGCCAGACAAACGTCCTTTTATCTTGTGGTTTTGCTAATGATACTGCCAAATTTACTGCGCTGCTTTAAATCTAAAACAGAATTATGCTATATTAATTAGCATTTAAAGGCCTCTCTAATGTCATTTAGCTATTAAGTAATTCATGAGAAAACAATATTTTGTTCACATTCTGTGAAAACAAATTGGCTTATCTGGTTTTTATTTTTGTTTATATAGATTTTTTACATTTAATTTTGTCATAGATTAAAAAAACTGATCTTTGTGAGTTCAACATTATTTTAAAAAATACCTGTGAATACTGTAAAAAAAAAAAAAAACTAATGGAAAAATCATTGGTCAAAAAGTGTGACCAAGCTGACAAATTGATATTCCTGTTATAGTGAATAGACTGAACAATGTTACATATTTCACATAGATAGAACATGTTATCATGAATGATATTTCCAACATTTCAGTTCACACATGGTTGTTTAACAAGCTCTGGAAGTAACAACACGGACATTTCCATTTGACTGTTACATATGGATGTTACAGAATGTTCTTTGAGATCGTACATTCCAGCTCAAATGACTACTGTAATGCAGTGGGTAATATATTTAATGGAGACTCCTCTTAGTTTAATGAGTTATGAACTAGTGTCATCTTCACTGCCGTTATTGCCATTGCAATTTCAGTGGAAATTGCATTTAAAGGCTTGTTTTCAATCATGAGTGGGACACAGGTGCAGTACACATGGACCAAAACTGGGTGAGTCTGATTGTGGGAAATGAGTGCTTCAAATAATTGAAGAGTTTCCAGTGACTCACAGGATGGGCCGGGATTGGAAATCCTCCTGGTTCATTCTCTCGGATTGGCGCAATTTGAGGATCTCAGTGTAGCTCAGATTTTGCAGACGACTTTTAAACTGATCCAGAGAGTTAGGCTTGATCGTGAGAGCACGAGTGATCTGTTCCTTCACCACCTGCATCACCTATAGTACATAAACACAGAGTTCATCATTTAGGACATCATTTTATGCATCCAGGAAGACACTACAGTACTCATTATGTCAAGTTTTTATTTGGCTCCAGCTTTTGAATCACACAAAGACAAAAGTTCAGACCTTTGACTGAAACAGTTCGGCATTATGACAGCACAAGGTGAGTATATCTGACCTTGTGCTTTTCTTATGATCATGATTTTAAAAACCTTACACTTACATGCCTGAAATTAGTTTTGGAGTCAAAAACAACATTTTGACCGGTATTGTAGAGTCTACATTCTCAGAGAAAAGGTTTCAGAGTAGACGAGGAAAAAAGTGAGAGTTGGACAAGGAAAAGAGTGAATGCTGCTCTTGTTAATGAAAAGAAAAAAATAAAATCACAATCTATATAAAGAAGAGTCTTGGGTGTAGAATTAATGACACACGTACACAGGGAAGATAATTCAATACATTAATGTTATTAGCAATCCCTTTCTTACAAAATAATTTACAATATATTGTGCATAATCACATTACTGTTAAGCACCTGGATTCACACGCTTATTAAACTCCAAATGAGAAGCTTTTAAAACTGTTGATACAATACATCCTTGAACAAAGATCAGTTAATACCTACCCAAGACACTACTGTACATGCATCTTAAATGAGATTCCCTAATGCTTCTTTAATTACTGTCCTACAAAATTCAAAGCCGTAAATGCCAACAATGAAACTGAGCAAAAGTGCTTTAGAGTCTTGGATCGAATTTTGATTGATCTAAAATCAGTTTTCATGCTCAGTTTTCTCTGAATCTCAACACAGTTCAACCAAGCCCTTCTGATTTATAAAATAACAAACAGGACATGGGATATTACAGATGGGCTCAAACACAAGCTACAAGATTACAAGTCCACATCAAGTGCACCACTTGGGGAAGATCCAATGACTTACAGGGTATGGGTCATGCATACAGTTAAGACGTTAACATTTACATGTTAAATACATTATAATGTCTGGAGTAGGCAAGTCTTGAAGCTTTGTTTGTTCTCACAGGTATTGGTTCCATCACTGAAGAGCACACATAAGTTGCTTTGAAGAAGCTCTTCATGTGGAGTCACGACAGCTGTCTTGGGGATTGCCGTTTGTCAAAGAATCAAATGCAAACAAACAGAAGTGACAGCCAGCAATGGACTATGACACAAGAATTCACCCATATGCAGCAAAAGCAGACAGCTTTCCTTCATCCACTGATACAGAAACGCACAGCTGCCGTAGAGCCACAGCTTTCCCGCTGATGCCTGAATAACGCACAGCTCGAAATCACAAACATCACATCTCGAAATCTTGGTGTACGTACCAAGCCTTAGGCTACAGATCATATGCTGTGATTAGCTGGGGAGCACAGTGACGGATGAGTTGGGAAGCTGGAACTGAGTCCAGTTGCTATTTACGCATGCATCCCCTCCCAGTCAGCCAGAGAAGCAGGTGCCGCTGGCTCCCGCAGCAGGATTAGATGAGGTTTAATTAGTGATAAGACTGGGCCAAGGTCAGGGCCCTCTCCCAAATCACTACTTGAAGAATGAGAGGAGTGATTGCTGCTGGAATAAACCAGAGACGGCTCCATTCAAACAGGACAGTAGCGTTTAAAAGCGAGGGGGTTTTGACAGCTGCAGGTCGGGGACGAAGAAGCAAACGCCTCCTCTTGAAACAATCCCTTATGGCGGGGGAAGCAATTTTCTGAGCACATTTGCAGATTTTTCACGGTTCAGAATTAATTAATCCAAGGCGCTCTCTCATTTCCTTTTATCAGCCTCTTTAAATCAAGTCGTGATGGCTGAAATAAAAGCAGACCTTTTATTCGTGAGGATGAGGTGATATGGGGGAACAGTGGAATTTCAGCTGCAGATGTGGTGGGCGGTGATATTTGTGAATAAAGCGGAAATGGACCTTTTTTTAGACAAACGCACTAAGTGTGTCACAGCCTTACCAAGAAGTGTGTGAGTCTTCAACTGCCCTGCCATCCTTATTGTCTTTCTCTCGCCTCTCCTCTCCCGAGGATCTAAATGCACAGAACACACTCGCCCACTGTGTCAGCCTGCAGATAATACAGAGTGACATACAGTGGGGAAGAATGAATGTGTGTGTATTTGTGCATGTTTGTGCACTTGTGTGTTCAAAAATTGAAAGCACACTTATTCTGCATTGGACTAGCCTATATATTTTGATTTATATTTATACATAAGCGCTTTAATGCTTTTGATTTAATGCTTTTGAACGACAATGCTTACAACGCCACTGGACAAATCTATTGCTTCCCTCAAGCACAACAAATGAGGAATTAATCTTAATAATAAAGTGTTTCTGAAATATCTTTGGAAAGTGAGTGGGCTTGTGCCAGTACCATTAAAGGCCATGAATAGAGTTGTGCTACGACACCAAGCAGTATAATATCTAATATAAAATGGCAGAAAACACAGCAAGATTTCGCCATCTTGGATTATACTGAGAAAACCGAAGTAAACAAATCTGAATTTTAGGGCCGTTACAGACAAGTGCCGTAAAATATATTTATATTCCTTTATAATTTTATATCCGATAAAATGGCTACTGAACAGCTGAAAAAAAAAAAGATAATAAATGGATTTGCTGGCTGATTAAAGCTTCAAACAAATTTGTCCTGTGGGGTCCAACCAATTCAAAGCAAACGGCTGTGGTACACAAGCCAAACATTAACGAGAAACAGACAAAAAACCAACTGTAAACTAGCCTGTCACATGAGTCAGTAAAATAGTGATACATGATCATTAGGTTTTCCTGTCTTTTTTTACAGTCAGATCATAAGCAGTGCAATGAAACCAATGTGCATCCATATGCGAAAGAGCAACCATCAACAGACAGAAATAGAAAAAAGAGAAACTAATCCAATATGAAAGTGATATGTGTTTGTTAAAGATGAACTCTTTTTAACTTTACCTTGCATAACACATTACTTATGCATTGCAATACTTTTGCATCACGACGTAAAATATGTGTAATGCCCAAAGATGTCTATCTGGCCTATGTGTGCACAGACCAATCATTTAAAATGCAAAAAAATCTAAATAAATAAATAATAAAAATATAAAACAATGCTATTACATAGAAGCATATAGTGGTCCACTAGTTGGTTTACTAGCACCTTTTTGCAGCTACAGCAGTTTGCTCACCTCCCTCTTCCAGACAGCCAATCAAAACTGCCTCCAATCAGGGCAGCAAGATTTATCACTCCTGTCTTATTTTAATTACAACTTCGCACAGCTATCCATCATGAATTCACATGTAAGCCTCTCTGTTTTTCACACCAGTACATAATTAATAGTCATATTTATTTCCTACCTGTAATTATGCAAAGGCTGTTATTCAGTCGCATCAGAAGAGTTTTTTTATTGATTTAGGAAGATGAATCACATATAAGTTTATGAGCAGCTTTGCTGTAAACAAAGCTTAGAAAAGGATGATCTTGATTTATGATCCTTACATTTTGTACGCAATTTGACGCATAATATGCACAGGACCTGCTGTATTGAAACATTCTTCATGTGCTGCTAAAACAAACAGTGGCAACAGCCACAAAATTGTCTCAGCAGACTTGCCAAATCCTGTGATTTTTACACAACTTTACACTAAACCAGTCCTAACCTGATACAATGTGAAAGGATTCCAATTTGTGACCCTGGACCACAAAACCAGTCTTAAGTGTCAATTTTTCGAAATTGAGATTTATACATCATCTGAAAGCTGAATAAATAAGCTTTCCATTGATGTATGGTTTGTTATGATAGGACAATATTTGGCCGAAATACAACTATTTGAATATCTGGAATCTGAGGGTGCAAAAAAATCTAAATATTGAGAAAATCGCCTTTAAAGTTGTTCTTAGCAATGCATATTACTAATCAAATTGAGTTTTAATATTTTTATGGTAGGACATTTACAAAATATCTTCATGGAACATGATCTTTACTTAATATCCTAATGATTTTTGGCATAAAAGAAAAATCAATTATTTTGACCCATACAATGTATTTTTGGCTATTGCTACAAATATACCCCAGCGACTTAAGACTGCTTTTGTGGTCCAGGGTCACATTTGTCTGTCCACATCAGACACAACATGCAACAAAATCAATCAAAATCCACAGACACTCAGAAAAGTGTCTAAAAGTACATAATCTAATTCATTAGTATTAAGCCATTTTAACATTATTAAAATACATACACTGAGTTCACAGTTTTACCATTCATATTCATTTTAAATTAAATTATTCATAGTTGCTTCATAGTATGGCTAAATAGGTCACGCAACATGATATTCAAACAACAGACACTTTTAACACCAAATAAAGCACAAAATCAGCACCTATTATCTTTGCCAAAGTGTGTATGTTGTTGCTCTAGCCATGACATTGCAGAAATAGAAACAGTATCTAAAACAGAATTCCATTGCTTGTTGTGTATCTCAATTGCAGCTGGTTATGACAAAAACTCTGATTAACATGGAAAAGATACCTTTTATCATGCGTTGCAGTGTCACGTCTGGTTAAAACATGGTGTTAGAATCAAATTCAAAACCTTCCTATTGACACAGTTCTTTAAAGTCAAAGCTGCTTAATTAGCCTAGGGAGTCACATCAACACTCAAATCTTTACTACAAATGCAAGAATCATCATTTACACCGTCAATCCCCAAATAGTGTTTAGATTATAGACGTCAAATCTCAAATGGAAAGGAACAGAAAACAAAATTTACAGTTTACAGAGGCTGGAAAGCATATCTTGCACATGTCTCTGTCATCCTTCTTCACATTCACTTTGCTTGTTATGGTCTGTGGACCCAATAGGGCAATCAGGCACAAAAAGGAAAAGGGACATTTATCCATTCCACAATTGACAAGCTAATTATGCAATTTCCTCCCCCTTAACGATTTTTATAACAGTTAACAATGATTCACATCAAAGAAATGGGCATT